ACGCATTTCCGATTCGATAACCAGGATGGCGTGTTTCCGTACAAGTCACCGATGAAGATATTCCTCGACCACGTCAGAAGCCGGACGATCCCCCATGATCTTCTTTCCTACTTCACTGATGCCGGTGTGCCATTCTATGATGGATGTCTTATTGTTCAAGTTCATGACCACAAGTCTCTTGCGCAAGCGAAGAACGTTGCCAAACCCACAAAAGGGAAGGGCTCCATGATGCCGTCTTCTATTCATAACTACAACCAATGTCTCACACCATCACCGAATGTTCCTTTCCCTAAAGAAAGTTTGTCAAATGGCGATGGAAACTCAAAAGGGAATGACGTGGCAGAAAAGGAAAATGCTCCCGTCATGCCAGCGCCAGAAGAGCAAAAAGACAGAGCGACAAAGCCACGAGTCTTTACCATGGTGCTCCACCCGACGCCCGAAAGTTTACAGATGGACCTGTTAATAAAAGCTTCTACCCCGCGAGGACAGGGTGATGGCCTTGGCCAACCCCCCACCCCGATGTCTCTTATTCCCCCGACACCTACAGCCGGTAGCATGCCGCCGCCGGCAAAACGCCAGAAGCGTGAAAAGACAGAGCTTGACAGCAGCAATATTCATGCTGCAGAGGGGCAGATCCTGTTAGCAACAAACGCGCCATTGGTGCTTGAGCCTACCAAGAATGTTGAAGAAACAATTCTCCTCCTGGAGGCAATGAGCCACCCCAAGCATGCAGAAGCTCCACCTCAGCCCAAAACACGCAAGCGAACTGTTGCCGAGATGGCTGCGGACGAAGCCGCTGCTGCAGAGACGGAACGCTTCATGCTGGTCGCCGACGAGCGTCTTGCACCGAATGCGAATGGAGCGCAGAATGGTGGTGCAGCCGATGGCGATGCCTCAGGCGGCGCATCGGCATTCGAGCCTCGATTCGAACGATTCAAAGTTCTGGCTGACATTAGTCGAGAACATGCCGAAAAGAAGGAACAAGAGAAGCTCAAGCAGCTTGAGAACGACAGGAAATTACAACAAGCGAAACAGCAGCAGCAGCAAGATGCGGTCGCGATGGCTCAGAAAAATGCTGAACAAGAAAGACTGCGACGGGAGGCCGCTGCGAGAGAAGCTCAGATGCGACAGGCAGAAGCTCAGCGACAAGCTCAAGCTCGCGCCCAAGCGGCGAATCAGAACAGCCAGAACAATCAAAATGCTCAGAGAGTTAATGGGAACCAACCACAGCACGGTCATCCTCAAAACAATGTCGTCACCAACGGAGTCAATAACGCAGCTGTGGGAACGCCTCAAATGGCTAATAATATGCCTCCGCAAGCACAACCCCGCTTCCAGGCTCAGATCACTCAACCACCAGCATCTTCTCCAGTTGGTGGCCAAGGTACACCTCAGCATATGTCGTCTCCTATGGTTGGCAGCGTCCCAATGCAGCAGACAAACTCTGGAATGGCCAACAGTCCTCCTCGGCCGTCTTCTATCGTGCAAAACGCCGCAGCTATGTCTGTCCCGATGGCTCATAACATGTCTTCCAGGGGTAGTCAACAGAGCCATCCCTCTGGCACTCCAAGAATGCCCCATTCAACACCCAACATGACACAAGGTACTCCGATCAACAGGCCTGCCATGGTGGCAACTCCCCGTATGAGCCAGGCAAGTCCTCCACCAGCTATGATGGCACAGAACTCGCAACCTGGTCAAGGCATGATGATGAACGGCCAGGGCATGAACCAAATGAACCCACAATATGCGGCTCAATTGGCACAACAACGCGCTGTGCAGCAACAGCAGCAGATGGCCATGCAAAACGGTCTTAACAGTGGCAACATGAGCCAGATGAGCCCTCAGCAACAGCAGCAGATGATGGCAGCAATGCAAAGGCAGTTGATTGCTACGCAACAGGCACAGCAGCAGGGTAACATGATGAGCCCCCAACAGCAGCAACAGCAGCAGCAGATGGCGGCCCAATATGCCCAGCAAATGCAGAACATGTCGGGCAGCCAGATACGGGCGTTCACTCCTCATATGCAGGCACAGTTCCAGCAGATGATGCGCATGAACCAAGTTAATGGCCAGATGGGCAATAGTCCTATGCAGCGTCAAGTTAGCGGACAGATGATGCCTAACGGTATGAATATGCAAGCTTTCCAGGCGATGCAGCAGCAACGTCAGCAGCAGCAAGCCCAGCAGCAGGGCAACATGATGAGCCCTCAGCAGCAGCAACAGGCCCAGCAGCAGCAAGCTCAACAACAAATGGGACAAAATCCAATTCAGGCGCAAATGCAACACCAGGCCAGGGCGCTTTTCAATAGGATGATGCCAGCAGTAGCCCAGAAGTACGGTGGCCAAGAGCATATTCCGCCAGACGTGATCGAGAAGATGAAGACACAGAGCATGGCGCAAGCTCAGAACCTTATACAAGCGTCAATGGCGCAGCGCCGACAACAAATGATGTTGCAGCAGCAGCAACAGCAGCAGCAGCAGCAACAACAACAGCAAATGCAACAACAGCAAATGCAGCAGCAGCAGCAGATGCAACAGATGCAGCAGCAAATGCAGGGGATGAATGGAATGATGGGCGGTCCCCAGGGAATGTGATGTCGCGAACGAGACCTGAGAAGATAATAGTGGGCAGAATTAATGTCACGGCAGACAGGAGCAGAGGATTCGATCATCAAAGGAGTTCAGGTTGGACCAGCATGCTCTTTTTACACGGTTTATGAGTTTGGGCAGATTTATACCCCACGGAAAGTTTTTTCATCCAGGTTCAAGGGTTTCTTTCTTATTCGTTTGGCTGTTTGGTTCTGGACAAGGTAGCACAGTGATAAATGTTGCTGTTCTTGGTGTTAACGGTTCAGGTTGGAAGAAGGTATTGATTGTACTATTATGAGAGATGGTCTATTATAGCATCATCTCTTTTACGAAGCCCGAGAATTGACCACGAATAAAAACAAAATAAAGAAAAGAAATAATAGTATTACCCCAGGATTATAATGATATTGCCATGTGGTTTAGCTGGGCGACTTATGAGCTCCAGAGACTGTCACGTGCTTGTGGAACTAGGCTCCTACCTTGGGCGCAATGACACAATCGCCAAGACGACAGGAGCTTCATATGACGCTAGCAAACCCGCGATAGCTCAAGGCAACGTGACCAATCCATCAATCACATCACACAGCACAGCACAGCACAGCACAGCTTGACTGCTTGTTCTAGGCACGCGCTTGTAATCTATTCTATCGAGTCTCTTCTTTCTTTTAAGCTTACACGGCACTTTCTGATACCACCACTCCATCCGTAATTCATCTCGGCACCATCGATTAGCAACCCTCTCTTTCTATCAAACTTCTACATTCTTCTATCAACGTCTTCTCGATGCATCGGCCTGATCTGTTGGCTTTTCTACTGCCTCTGCTGGCAGCCCCAGTGTTTGCGGGAGAAACTCTAGACTGCGGAAAGATTCGCGCAGATGGCCATACCTTTGATCTTTCTAAGCTCGGTGGACCGCATTCGGTCCTGACGACGCGGTTCAAGCCCAGTCCTCCTGAACATTACAACACGACTTATACGCTAGATATATGCAAGCCTCTGAAGAAGAAGGGCGGCAAGAAGGATGAAGAATGTCCAAACGGCACTCGAGGTGTGTACGACGTCTGCAAGGGCTGACCAAGTCCTGACTAACATATCCAGTTTGCGGTATTACACACCTTCTTAAGCCTGGCGAGAAGGAGGAGAAGGATGAGATTACGAATATCATCGCGATTGCAGGAAATCTCGAAAACGTTGGCGGCTCTCGATTCGATGCTACACCCACGCGACTAAAGACAAGCGACTCAACTTCCGATAAGGATAAAGAGGGCGTGCGACTAGTCCTCACAGGAGGGCGAGACCCCCTCAAAAAAGGTGATATCAAGCAGGTCGAACAAAAGGCCATTATTGAGTTCCTATGCGATCCCAAGAAGGAGGGTACAGAGGGCGAATGGGTTACTTCGGACCAGTACGAGAAGCGAGCGGACGACGATAAGAAGGAAGGGGATGGTGATGATGATAAGGATGAGGGCGAGTCTATGATCGAGCACCAGCTGAAGCATGACAATGCTTCGCTTATCTGGAATAGCTTTGATCTTGAGGAAAAGGCAAAGGTTCTGCGCTTGACGTGGTACACTAAGTATGCTTGCGAAAAGCCAGAGGACAACGGCGGTAGTGGCGATGATGACACCTCAAGCTCCCACTGGGGCTTCTTCACCTGGTTCATTATCATGTGAGTAACTCCAATCAGCTGCTATGACGAATCTCTAACAAATTTAGTGCTTTCTTGGGCATCGCCGGCTACCTCATCTTCTCATCCTGGATCAACTTCACTCGCTACGGCGCTCGCGGCTGGGATCTTCTCCCCCACAGCGACACCATCCGCGATATTCCTTATCTACTTAAGGATTGGATTCGCCGCGTTCTCAACACCGTGCAGGGAACAGGAAGTCGAGGAGGATACAGTGCGGTCTAGACGGGTTTCTTTTTTGACAGACAGTGTGTATCGTTATAGGTCTGAGTTGGGCTGGGCTGTGTGAGGAAATGGTACGGCGCTCACGCTAGATGTATCTAGCTGGAATTGTATACATAGGTTGAAATTCGCGGGTTTCGGTTTTCATAGCAGTGTTTAGATCAAAGATGCTATCAAGCAGTGTTATCAATTGACTCTGCCTGACGTTTTATGCCAGTGTTGTTTATTGTTTTGTAGAGAACGACTTATCATTGAACAGGTATTCTCATTATTCATCATCGTCGAATTCTCGAGCCAGCTCTAACATAACTCTTACAAAACCCTCATATCTCCGCTCTGCAATCTTGATATATACCACATCTCGCATGTACATCTCGTGAATCTCAATCATCGTATGGGAAGTATCATTCCCGCACCGCCTCTCCCACGTCCTCCCCTGGATCCACGTCCAACACCAACAAAGCCTCCCCCAGCGCTGATCTCCATCTTCCTAGCTAGGTTATTCAGCTCCTTCAGCAGACAACAAGCCGCCACGATTCTGAAACTCTCCAGCTCGCCTGTTCCATGGTACACTATTGGCGCAAATTCCTTTTTGATACATGCAACTGCTACACACGCCCAGCATAGCTCTACGACGTCTTCTCTCCAGCGCGAAGGAGCTGCGTCTGCGTCGGTGGCTGTGCTGAGAGTTTCTGCGCCGTCGCCTACACCGCGATCGCGGATCTGCTTGACGATCCATGTCATGATGCGGTCGATTTCTTCTTTTAGTTTGATAGATGAGTCTCCTTGGCGGCGTGTTTGGGCACCGCGCTTGTTGAGGATGAAACCGCAGAAGACTTCGACTTCTGTAAGAGGCGCACGAGGGTTTTCTGAAAAGTGCCACATCTTGTCGGTGATAGTCGACTCGTAGCTGAGATTGTTAGCACGTTGAGTCGACGAGAGGCATATTGTAGCTTACAGGCCTCGAATCTTCCACGCCTCGTCGGACCTGCGTGTCCAATCAACATCAAGCTTATACTTGTTCACCTCGCTCTTAACAACGGTTAACAATTGATCCCAAACAGAGGGTCCAGCTGTGTTGATAATGCGATGAATATCTTCATCCCAGATCTTCTTCTCATCGACATTTCGATATAGACGGCCGAGGATTTTGTCAGACTCGTAGTACTTTGCTTTATAACGAGCCATGCCATCGTCGGCGTTGTCATCTTCATCTTCGTCATGCAGATGACCGATCTGACCCTTTTCGTACATCTTCAGAGGCGGTGCCGTTGCAAGGCTGCAGGATATGTCAGTATATTTCTGTTAAGCATTGGACGTAAGACTTACAAATCAGGACGGAACGGAGGGTTCCTGGGCAAAGCCTTTACATCGACAGGAATACCTGTCTTGGAGAAGTCGACCGCTGTAGAATGCATGCCCGCGAGGGAAATGCAGTAAGGATGTGTCGTTCCCTCTTCATAATAATCTGCCAAGACGACATGTCTTGTAGCGATCATGCCCAAGATATCAGTTCGCATAAAGTTAACGAAAAAGTCGGCAATGTCCTGGGGCTTGACTGGGCGATCCAGTGGCTTTGGTGTAACTCTTGGGTAGTCTGCTGGTAAGAAGTACTTTTCGGGCAATGCTTCTGGGTCCCAGATAATGTTATAGAGGTCACCGTCCAAGTCGCCTCCACTCAGCATACTAGGCAAGTCACGTTCGCCCTTCTGGCTGAAGATGATGCAGTTCTGTAAGCTTCGTAGAGGATGTCCCTGTGGAGGGGTCACTTGGTTGACGGTCTGAATGTCTCCTGGGTGAAGAGCTGGTGACCGTGTGACAATGATTCGGCCATCTTTGAGTGTGGAGTTGATGCGACGACCTCTGTAGACGCCGTGTGTCTTGTCGTAGGTGACAAAGACCTCACCAGCATTTAGGAATCCCGTCTCATCCATGACGCCAAAAAGAGTCACCCCCTGATCAACAGGAATGCGGGCCTTGTGCTTCAGCAATCTCAGTTCTCGCAAAACGACGTGTTCAACCGCTGACTTGAGGAACTTATCCCGGCGGTAGTCAATGCCCATCTTGTACAACTGCTTGACCAACTTGGGCAGTCCCATATTGACGCCGATAGCCTGATAGTCTAGGAAATAGCTCGTGTTGGTCGCGTCAGCTGTGACGTTGCGCAGTATGTCAAGTGCGTTATTCTGCAGTCTAAAGAACCAATCATTGGGTGTCCCCATATCTTCCAAGATCTTGATCATCTGGCGGTTGAGAACGAGTCGAAGAGGTTTAGATGAAGCGTCGCAAATGCCGAGCTCTCTAATATCGTCACTTGGGAACTTCATCATTGACTCCTGTCGAATACAGAAAACTTTCCCTGTGAGTCGGGTATCAAGAGAAAGCATTCCCTTACAACCACCCCAGCGGATCTGTAGACATGTTGGTGCTGCAGCTCGCATCGAGAGGTAAGGCCATATCTCTTCTAACGCGTCTCTGGAGATCGTCCCAACACCATCACTAAATACACGTTTTCCATCCTCAGATTTGACATCTGGAATGAACCGATGGCTTATGCCGGTTTCAAAAATCGGGACTGCATATGGTGTTTCTGAGAAAGCCTGGCCGATTCGTGCTGCACACTTTGCCGGAACTCGAATCTCGCTGAAGTCTCCCAGGGCTTGCAGAATAGCTGCAGGAGTCTGGCGCTCAAAATTTGAATCGGTGAAAGGCGCAGAGAACCAGGCCGAGTGAGAACGAAGAGATGAATGAGAGAAACCCAGGAAATCAAACTTTCGACCGGCAATTGTGATGCCCTCGTCCATGACATGTCGGAACCGGGCAAAGATTGGTTCGTTATCGACTTTCGGATGAAAGTTGAGGTCCTGGCCATCTTCCTCGCAGAAGAGCACGCGTAAGAAGTAGTCATTGTTCTCGTGGTACTTTCGCAACACTCTGTTCTTGCTATCGGGCTCGGGACCAGAGAGAAGAACGCGCGTGGGCGTCACCATAGCCTTGAAGATATAGATCTGATGATCTGGAATCTTGGCTCCGTAGATTCTGTCACGCTTGGGGTTCTCCGCCCTGGCCTCATACTCTTCATCCATGATGCTGGCCATCAACGTGACAACATTCAGCTCATCAGGATCCGTGCCAGGACAAGGATAGGGTATCTTCTGAAAAAGGGTCTTCATGGCATCTGTGGTGACGGGGGCCGCGACTTTCTTCTCTTTAGCATCCGTAATGACTTGATCGAGGATATGCAGCAGTTCTATGCCGCTCGCGGGGTTGATGTAGTTGTTCCAGACCAGAGCTTGGACTTGGAAGAGAAGAGCAAAGTGAACATTTCCTGATGCCAGCAGGCGCTTAGCCTTCTCTGTGAATTGCTGGCGGCCGAGGAAATGGTTGCTCTCGGGTTCCACGTATGACCACAGAACGGATGGGAGATCGTGATAAGTGACGGCGAGAATATCTCGATGCTTCACAGACCGAAGGACCTCGTTCATGTCGTTTAAGGAGTTGAAGAAGATGCGATAGACGAGGCACGACGACGAGTATTCGCGAATGAGCCCCCAGTTGACCAGACCCTGTACTCGTTTCCACGCCTGATTTGGATTGTCTGATTTGTGAGGCGTGTACATCTTTGGAGGTTCAGTCAAGACCAAAGTGATGGATGCATCATTGCGACTAGCAATAAGATCCTGAATAGTGTCGTTGTGAAAATCCATACGGTATCCGTCTTCGTCGTAGACAGTCAACCATTGCGGCGTGAACTTGCCAATAACGTCTCCGAGCAAGATCAGACTGTTGTGCTCAACGAAGGTGATTACCTGTTCGGGACCGCGAAAAGTGTTGCCACCACAACTGATGCTGTTGATAATGAAGGCTCTATCTGGAGCTTGACGGTCTTCAGTAGCGGTAGCAGCAGCAGCAGCCTTTTGCTGCTTCTTTTCGCGTTCATGCTTGAGATGTGCGATGGAATGCTTGTCGAGGGCGCGAGTACTCTTCTCAACAAACACAGGTGTCTTGAGAATATGGAGACGCGGGGTATCCTTTGGTCTGAAGTTGGTCTTGAAAGGATATCGGGGGTTTATGTTCTCCTTCTGTGGTACGTCGTGACGCTGTTGTTTGCCATGTCTTTCAAGAAACGAGTAGCCATCGCCGGGATTGAGGAATTTGATCCATGCTTGAGGCCTTCTCTTTGGCTTTTCACAATAAAAGTCTGTGATGTTCAAAGCCTTCATAAATGGCATGAGTTCTTGTATGAAGCCCTCTTCTGACAAGTCCTGAGGGACATTTCGACAGAAAACCTCCATTGTCGCGAGGGAGCGAGGCCGCCGGCCTTTCGTGATTCAACAACTTTGCGCACGAGTTTAAACAGAATAGTAACAGAAAAGGTGACTTGAATGTATTTGACACAGGATGCGAGGTCTGAAAACCGTTAATTTCGTTGGCACGTCCGCATGTGGCGGTTGACTCTCACATGAGCTTCTTAGCGCATGCCAATGGACATTGTAATGTTTCGAGAGGCGGGCAACGGAGTTGATTGGCGGCGATATGTACGAGATCGAGTCCTCAGTGTCGCTCAATGTGGATGGTTGCAGATTGTGATAACCGATGGGAACAATAGATTGGATGAGCGGGATGCTTCATGCGGGAGGCCGACTGCTGATATATTCTGGTATGATGTACAGTACCAGACAAAAGAATGAGAGAGAAAATACCGAGAGAGTGAGGAGGAGAAAGAGAAAGAAAGAGAGAAATCCGAATATATCACAGCACAATCAATGGCTCCGCAATGAATAAAAGAAAGTGAAAAGAGCCAAAGCACTGCTCGGCACTGGCATGGACAATATGACAGCGCAATTGCAGGCGAGGGCTATGCGCAAATGCCCTAAAATGACACGGCACGATATTGCGCTGCCAGCTCTTATCTTCACAGTACATTCACATAGATGGACTCGATACTAAGTAGCTGCGCACTCGCCGCTAGGTCGCGATGACTTCTCGGTGTGCTCCCGGTGTGGACCCCGTATTCACGGTGACCTTTCGGTGAGTGGCGGGGTAAACATTTATACCTACAGTGAGGTACACCCCGCTACGTTCCCGATTCCATCTGCCGAGCCGAATCGTAAACTCCCGCTCCACCTCCCGTCATGTAAATCGTTCTTCCGGAAGGGCCTGAGGGCGCTTTATAACAAAGTAGACAACCTCTCATTGAGCTTCTCTCCTCAATTACAGCCCTCAGTCTAAAACACGATCACAATGTCTCCTCCCGGTAACCTCTACGTCACGATGCAGCCCAAGCCTGGGCTGTCTCTAGACCAATTCCACGAGTGGTATAATAACGAGCACGGCCCGACCCGACTTCGTCTCCCTCAGATCTTCTCCAACGGTCTCCGATATAAAGCGACGGATGGTCAAGAACCTACCTATCTCGCTGCTTACGACGTCACGTCCATGCCACACCTTGAAACAGAGACATACCTCACACTGCGAGCGAACCGATCTCCTCGAGAAGCCGAGACCATTGGCCAAGTCGATGTGAAGCGATATTTCTGGGACTTGGTTCATTCCAACGAGTCTGACAAGTTCGTGCCCCTTGAGAAGTTGACCAACGAAGAGGCCGAGGGTCTGCAGACTACCGCGGTCACAATTGAGCTCAAGGACGTTGAGGGTGCTGCGGAGGAATATCAGAAGTGGCTGGTTGAGGAGCATATCCCCATGTTGGCCAAGGTTCCTGGTTGGTTGCGCTCGCGCGCCTTCAAGACTTCGTATCTTGAGGGGCAGAGCAAGACGACGTTCCTTGCGCTGCATGACTATGCTAAGGAGAATGGTCAGGGTGGACCGGAGCACAAGGCCTCGATGGACACTCCATGGCGCACCAAAGTCTTTGACAACTTTGTTGCTTCAAAGGGTCGAAGAACATATTCTCTCTTCTATGTCTTTGGACCTGCTCCTCGAGAGCTGGAAGCGCTATCAAAGCTGCCGTCGACAGCTGCTTTCACTTCCCCCGACTCCAAGCAATCTACCACACCTGGCCCCAACGCGGCTATCAACTCTTACATTACAACTTCAGATTCTCTGGTCGTCCCCTACCGATTGGAGGGTAACCCAGACCCCAAGGCTCCTACAATCGCTTTCAGCAATTCACTGTTGACTTCGCTGCACATGTGGGATCCTCTCGTAGAAATCCTCAAGCGCGAACGCCCTGAGTTCCGAATTCTCCGATATGATACCCGTGGCCGACATGCCGTGCCTCAGCCCCCAGTAGCTGCCACCGTGGATCGTTTGGCTGACGACATTCGAGAAGTGCTTGATGCTCTCCGCGTCACCAAGCTGCACACTCTTATTGGTGTTTCAATGGGCGGTGTTACTACCCTGAACTTTGCCATCAAGTACCCTGAGCGTCTTCAGCAGTTCATCGCTTGTGACTTCAACCCTACATCCAGCGCTGCCAACACACAAGCGTGGAAGGATCGCACCGCTCTAGCTGAGGAGGATAACGGCAAGGGTATCGAGAAGCTCGCTGGACAGACTGTCCAGCGGTGGTTCCATCCCTCCACCAACGCTGAGACCGTCAGGTGGATGACGGAGATTGTCGTTGCTAATGATGTTGAGGGCTTCAAGTACAGCAACACAGCACTCTGGGATTACGACCTGAAGCCTAAGATGGGTGGCTGCAAGGTATCTGGCCTGTTTGTCGTTGGAGAGGAAGATGCCAAGGGTGCTCTTGTCAAGGCTATGGATGCATGCAAGGGGCTACTCGGTGATAAGGGTGCCGAGTTGAAGATTGTGCCTCAAGCAGGACATCTTCCTATGGCTGAGAATCCTCAGGCTTTCTGGGAGGCTGTTAAAGACTTCTTGTAATCTTGAGAGGAGATGACAAATTAGAATAAGTAGTGTTATTTGTAGTAACAGCTTTGCCTACCTTAGTTGTAGTAACAGACTAAGGCTAAAGGTACCTCCAAATACAAAAGATATATCCTAGATAACCCAAACTCTGACCATAACCTAAAACCCTATCCTTAATCCTAAGCTTACCTAACCCTATTCTAAACCTAATCTAACCCTAGAGACTAACCCTAACCTTCTATCTCAACTATAGCTATTTTCAATAGAGATACGCAGATATATATAGTATATATACTAAACAGTGACTTAGATATGTATGTTTGACAATGAGCAAAAATTAGATATTATTACTAGGCCTCCTCTGTCTTCTGCTCAACAGGTGCCTTCTCATCCAAACCGTACTGTGTATCCAATTCTTTTCGCAGAGGAACATCTTTCTCAAACAGAGAGAGTACCCAAGCAAGTCCGCCAAACGCTACAGAGATAACATAGACTTTACTCAAAGACAGCATGAAAACATGTCGAATTTGAGTCTGAACAGCCTCGTCAAATTGCAGAACGAAAGCTCGTGTCGCGCTCTGGTAAGAGTCTCCTGAGCTGAGCATTTCCCGCGCCAACTCGTTATCGATCATGTGCGAATACTGCTTCGTATACGTGTTGAAAATAGATCCAGCGATTGCTACGCCCCAAACAGCGCCGAAAGAACGCATGAAAGTCCAGTTCCCCGTTGCAGCAGCTTGATCTTCTTCATCTGTCGCTGCCTGGAAAGCAGGTAAGAGGGTATTCAGAAGAAAGCCGGAGCCGATAGCTGGAATGAACTGCAGCAGAATCCAAGCTGCAGGAGGACTATCTTGGTGAAGAAGACCGAGGAGGCCGACACCGAGAGTCATGAAGAAGAAGCCTGATACGTGAAGTATCTTATACTTGCCCCATTTTGAGAGGACGACCGCAGAGAGTGCTGCGCCTGGGATGGCGATGAGAGCGACGGGGAGCATCTGCACTCCTGACCGTGAAGGTGTTGACAACTTGACGGCTTGGAAGTATAACGGTAGGAAGAAGTAACACCATTGAATCAGCAGCATGTTAAGGAACGTGTTGATGTAGACGATGTATGATGTGCGACCTGGGAATAGGCGAATAGGCATGACAGGTTCCGAGGGAATTCCTGAGGCTTCGTATATAACGAAACCGACAAGGCCGAGGAGACCGATTATCAGGGGAGCTAGGATCCGAGCATCGGACCAAGGATGAACGGGACCTGCCCAAGTGAGGGCGATGAGAATTGAGACGCTTGATGCGATGAGGATAGCGTTGCCGATATAGTCAATACGACGGAGTTTATCCATGGTCGATTGAGTTCGATCGTATTGGAGGTTGAGGAAGAAGTACGTAACGACGATAGCAACGCCTCCGATGGGCAGATTGAGGTAGAATACCTGAACCAAAAGTCAGTGTAAGTCGGCACATACGGTGGATATACTTACCCATCTCCAAGTCGTGTTCTCAACAATGACACCACCAAGAAAAGGCCCAACAGCGAACCCAATAGTCGCTACTAACAGAAGTATAGCGATGTAGTTTCCTCTATATCGAAGTGGCACCAGATCAGAAATGATCACATCGTTGACCATAGTGACTCCGCCACTACCGATACCTTGAATAGCACGCCCAGCGATTAGCATTGCACCACCGTTAGCACCGCCTGCAATGCCACTTCCAAGCGTGTATGTAGCAAAGATGAACATCATGACTTTCTTGCGGCCCCAGAGGTTACAGAGTTGGCCGAACAGGGGTTGAACACAAGCTCTAAACCTTGTCAGCCATGTGCTGAAATCAGAGGGGAAACTTACGTGGTGAGGAAGAAGACGTTGGTAACCCAGATGTAACTACTTCCAAGATTAAGACTCTCGACAATCGTTGGGAGAGAAGTGATGACGACTGTTGCTTCGAGAGATGCGAGGAGTGTTGCCAGGACTAAAGTAACCATGATCATCCAAAAGCGATAATCTCTATTGAAAGCTGGATTTGTCTTTGAAGTCACTGGCGTTTGAGCTTCTTCATCTTCTCGGGCTATTTTCGTCTGGTCTGACGAGTTGACGGAGGGTGGCGATGAGAGTGTCTGGTTAGATGCCTCGACCTTGTAAGGTGAAGCAGTATCTTTCGTTGCAGAAGCCATGATGATCACTGCAGAGCGAGTCTGTTTGCCTTGATAGTATCGTCACATCTTCAGAGGAAGAATGTCAATTTATAAGGCAAATTCATGAAGCCACGAAGTAACAGGTAGGGAAAACGGAGGCTTTATAAATCGAACTCCGACTCCTACGGGAGGCTAATTGCTGACACTGTTTTTAAAATGCTCCGTAGAATGGGATTTGTTAACTAAGCTAAATTACAAACGGTAACTTGCCTGGTATCCTATTGTTGGAGTTGGGCTTACGTTCGGATGCTTTCAACAGGAGTT